GTATAACCATTAGACACCATGAAAGAATCAAATTTCTTGTACCAGTGCCTCGGAGACTGCTTCAAGCCATATAGAGATTTCTTTAACAAGCATATTTGGTCCCTTTTAGAACTGTCGAACCCTTTCGGTTGAAACATGTAAATCCGTCCTTCTAGATTATCATGAAGGAATGTTGTTTTTACATCAAGCTGCTCCAGCTCCAGCTCCAGATCAAAAGCACCCACCATTGCCAAAAGAAACCCGGATGGTTTTGTGTTTCACCACAGAAGAAAAGACTTCATGGTAATCGATTCTTTCCTTCTTTGAGAACCATTTTGCCACCAGTCTCGCCTTGAACTTAGTTAATTCAACACCAGGAATTCCATCATTTCTTTTAAAGACCCACTTGCATCCCACTGGCTTCACCCCTTTCGGTAGTACAACGAGATCCCGAGTCTTCTTCTTTTCAAAAGACTGCATCTCTTCATTCATTGCTATAATCCAGTTTTCTGCATCTTTACTCGCCACAGCTTCTTTATATGTTTTTGGTTCATCAGAGCCAAGATCATCACCAACCGCCAATGCATAAGCCACAAAATCCATGTCACATGTATTGACACATCCTACAAACCTAGTTGGTTTCTGTTGGTTTCTGAATATTTCTCTTTCCCTTTCTAGCTGCTATGGAATCTTCAACCCTAGTACCAGTGTCAGCTTCCTCCTCAACCGATTTCCCTTAAGGTTTTGACTGATCTGGTTGATCGGATTGATCAATAGTATTATCCTACTGCTCTTCCTCTAACACAACTATGTAGAGAGTCTCAAACTCCACCTTCTAGTCAACACCACAATCTTTTGTACGTGCAATACTTTCATAACTTTTACTCTGATCAAGCATAGCAGATTCATCAAAGGTAACATCTTTGCTAATAAGAAATTTACCAGGACTTTTACCTTTTGTATACCACAGTCGATAATGTTTGACTCATGTTGCATACCCTAGAAATATGTATTTTACCGCCCTCGGCTCCAGCTTACCATCATTCACATGAGCGTATGCAGGGCATCCAAATATTCTTAGATTAGAGTTATCAGAGGGTTTACCGGACCATACCTCTTGAAGAGTCTTTAAGTCAATTGCAGTTTATGGAGATCTATTAACCAAGATAGCTAGCAGTGTTAATTGCTTCAACCCAGAATTGCTTAGATAAGCCAGCAAATATGCGCATACACCTAGCACGCGCCATGAGAGTTTGGTTCATACGCTCTGCAACCTCATTTTGTTGTGGTGTGTATCATACAATGCGGTGTCTCACTATACCTTCTTTCTTGTAAAAATCATCAAATGAAGTGTTGCAGAATTCCAACCCATTATCAGTTCTTAAAGTCTTGACCTGTTTACCCATCCGTTTTTCAACCATGGTCTTTCACTTCTTGAACTTCCCAAACACCATCTTTAGTCTTCAGAAAGTACAACCAGACTTTTCTTGAATAATCATCTATGAAAGTGACGAAGTAAGAACAACCGCCCTGCGATTTCACCGAGAGGAACCCCATAAATCTGAATGAACATACTCCAGAAAATCTTTTGAAGTGTGATGACCGGTACTAAACCTCACCTTGCATTGCTTCCCTTTTACACAAGCCTCACAGAATTGAATTTTACCTTGTCGCATCCCCACCAAATAAACCCTGCTTGCTCAGCACAGACAACCCTTGCTCTCTCATGTAACCCAATTGACGGTGCCACAAATTTGTCCTGTCATCATGTTTATCCAAGGACTGGAATACCGCCACCGTTCTCATCACTGAACTGCCTAGTAGACAATAAATTTCATGCTGCAACTTTCCCTTCATCATCACCAGAGTACCTTAAGGACTTTCACCTATTCACATTCACCGTGATATTTTAAACTATTCTTGGCTAAGGTGGCCAAGAGAAATCAAATTCTTTTTGAGTTCAAGAACATATCAGCAATCAAATTTCCTAACAGTACTGTCATGCAATTTTATTTGTACAATCCCGCTCCCCATCATCACCTACGAGAGAGCATCATATGGTGAGAAGCATCGGTATCCATAATCCAGGTGCCAACAGTACTAGCGCTACATACTGTCAGAACTTCACCAACGTCTCCATCATCAGAATTGTCTTGTACCACAGCAACACTGCCACTGTTACTAGAGGATTTGGATTTTGAACGCGACCCCCATTCCCGTTACCCCTCTCCTATGGTCTTCTTCTACATGCAAATAGACCTAAACCAGAACCCTCTTCCAGAGAAACTTTTCTTTTCAATTCTTTCGACATAAGGACATCTTTCACATCATTAACAAAAATTGTAGTTCTACCATATAGCATAGTATCTACAAAATTCTTATATAAACCAGGTAATGAACACGGTAAAATTAGGGTTTGATTTTCATCATCTATTTTAACCTCAACCCCTTGAAAATCAAGAATAATACGGTTAAAGGGTGTCAAGATGATCCTTTACCTGAGTACTTTCGGACATCCGGAGGGTGTTCGTTACTTATGATATAGTCTGTTCGTGAGAAAGTTGTTCTGATACTTCTCACACAGTTTATCCCATAACCCAGAAGCCGTCGTCTGATCTACAACCTCCCGTAACACCTCATCAGTAATTGACAGCAAGATCGCGAAATGAGCTTTTGACAAAATCTCATTCTTCACCTCCTCATTCGTGTCTTTACGAAACTTGTCTTCTCCCTCAAAAGCAGCCGCACATCTCTGTTGAACCAAAAGTGCCCTCATCTTGACTTTCTAGAGCGTGAAGTCATTCGACCCATTAAACTTCTTCAGATCAAACTTATACGAGTACATCTTCAATCAATCAGATATGGCTCTGATACCAGAACACAAAGGTTTTGCGTGGTTCGATGACGGTGTGTCAACCTACGTCCACGGGCAGGAACCAGAGAGACTTTATTATACTGATTCAGAGAGTTACAATCATTGTCATACGGCTTAGAACCATAACTATCTATTTACAAGCACCCCCAAAACACCTTAAACCCTATGCCCATTTGTTATTAATTATGATGGCTTGAAAAAAATCCTGTCAATTGAAACAGCCTTTTCGTTTTGGTTTCGGGTCGGGTAGACCGCTAAATCCAAGTCACGTTTCAACAGTCCCAAACTCCTTGAGCTTCCATGATAGTCTCGACCTTGATCGACCAGTTCATATAATTTTTCGATGTTAACTGGGAATAGACAACAACAACAATGCTTCAAGTGTGAAAAAAGTAGAATACTATCATCCAAATGCAAGAGCAAGCCGCATGCAGTGGAAGTGAATCTAACTCCCTTGGAGGAAAAAACTAACCTGGGAGCCATAGATGATGGAGAACCTACATTGTTGTTTTCTGAAATAGAGATGGAGCTCGTTTGAAATGGCGTCAGGATTATGAGGGAGTTTGTTGAAAATAGTCCTGCCGCAGCAGAACTTGGTCCTTTTGACCACATTTTTTCTTATTTTAGTATCTCTCTTGTTCCTAAAGTTTAGGTAGAAGTACGTATTTATTATCAGAAAATTTTGTTAATTTTATGTTTATCGGTTTAATATCGAGGTCTATAAATACCTCCTACTTTCATTTTCAATCTTGTTTTTTTAGTCAAAATAAAGAATAGTTTTGCTACTTACTTTCTATATATATATATATATATATAACCATATGATCATATAGACCATATCTATCTTAATAAACTTAATCACTCCATATTTCATATATATATATATATAACCAGATCAAACTTATACGAAGATATCTCTGCATTTTCACGTGTACTTCCTTTTTATTTTAGTATCTCTCTTGTTCCTAAAGTTTAGGTAGAAGTACGTATTTATTATCATAAAATTTTGTTAATTTTATGTTTATCGGTTTAATATCGAGGTCTATAAATACCTCCTACTTTCATTTTCAATCTTGTTTTTTTAGTCAAAATAAAGAATAATTTTGCTACTTACTTTCTATATATATATATAACCATATGATCATATAGACCATATATATCTTAATAAACTTAATCACTCCATATTTCATATATATATATATATATAACCAGATCAAACTTATACGAAGATATCTCTGCATTTTCACGTGTACTTCCTTTTTATATATATAATCACCTGATCATATAGACCATATCTATCTTACTAAAGTTAATCACTCCATATTTTATATCACTCAGGTCACGTCATCATGATATGTTTCACTCTCTCATTTACCTTTTTTTTCATTTATTGTTTCTTTTCCCATATATATATATATATATATACTTTCTGGAAGTGAAAAACGGTGTGTTTAGTATAGAGAAATAAGTTCAAAGCATTTCTAAAATTGGTAGTTGAGAAATAAATCATTTCTGATTCTCTGATTTCATTTATCTATTGCAGAGAAATACAGAGAATTAAATATTAATGCAGCACAATTATCTTTATTTTTTATTTTTATAATTTTTTTAATTATATTATTTCAATTTTATAAAATATGATATTTAATTTTTACAATTTTTATTTTAAAAAATTACACTAAAATATTAATCTTACAAAATATCGTATGTAATTTACTATTTAAACAAAAAAAAAATCACAAAAAATACTTCTTTCATAGATTCTAACTAGTTAAAACCCTTTCTTGCCCCATTAAACATTTATTATTTTATTGATCTATCCATAAAGCTGCATTTTTATATTTCTCAACTAATTTATCTATTTTACCAATCAAAAAAATTAATTTCCATTGATGAATTCTTTTTTTCTATGGAATTCTATTATCTGCTCTCATACCAAATGCCCTTCTTGGTTCAAAAGCTCGAGCTCAGCCACAACTAACAGTGGCTTCACAAAAGCATGCGATCAATCAAAAAACTCTCCAGAAAATTCACCAGCAAGGCAGCAACTATATAAATTCTAGGCTAAGTCAATCACTCAAACCCTAATTCGTGAATAAAATCATCCAAAAAATAACAAAAACAAGGATTAAGCCTGAAAACTCACAGAATCAGCGGTGATGAAAAGCAACGGAGGCACAAATAGCAGCTTCTCCCCTTTCCTAATATTCTTCATAGCCACAAGTCCCCTCTCTCCAACGTCCACTCTTTTTATAGCCATTTTCTGGGGAGGAAGCCCGTTCTGAGACAACCATTCCTGTAAATCCGACGCATTCTCCAGAGAATCGACTTCGCACCCCCACGGGACGGTGGTTTCTGTTGCCGCTGAGACGGAGCACCGAATTCGATTAAATCGGACACTTCTTCCGGCAAAGGAGAGATCGGCGCGGATTTTGAGAGCGGATGGAGATGGAGTTGGAGAGAAAATAGGGATGAACGTGGATTGGAGGAGGCTCGAAGTTTCAGCCATGGCGATTGGGGGGAGTGCAGAGTGAATTAGCCTTATCTTCTTCATGTGAGGATTTGGAAGTTTGGCTACCGTTGATGCTTTTCTTAGAAATTACTGAAAGGGTAATTTCATTTTACTACTGTAAAACCCTGCCGTTTTTTTTTTTTCAACAAATTATATAAATATAAAATATAATTAATAAATAATTAAAAATATATCATGAAAAATAATTATAGTATAATATAAAATTAAAGCAACTAATTAATCTAATTAAAATTTTAAAATAAAATTTATTTGTATAATATAAAATTAAAACAATTAATTAGTCTAATTAAAATTTTAAAAAACATTAAAATAAAATTTAATTATATAATTCTTTTTTTAAAAAATAACAAAATAAATAAAATAAACAAAAACAGAAAGAGGATATGATAAGTGGACGGATGGGGTATTAATTTTATTTGATCTCCAAATTAATATACTATTTCTATAGTTATTCATCAAATAATTTTTGGATATGATTGTAGATAAGTTCATTTCCAACCCACAATCCACCCCTAAATCCCCCCTCTCCCTATTTTTTCAGGAATCAACAGTGTTACTCCAAAAATTGAGTAATAATACTGTTACTTCACTCTATTTTTGGAGTGAAGTTTTTGTGGTGTTTTTTATATTTTTGGTATTTTTTGGTATATTGTGTAATTTTAATTTTTTAGGAGATGATATATAATTTTATATTTTAAAAAGTTGTATGTAATTTTATTTTTTTGAAAAATAATGTATAATTTTATTTTTTAAAAGTGATATAATTTTAATTTTTAGAAAGTAATATATAATTTTATTTTTTAAATATTAATTTTTATATATGTAATTTTTAAATAATGTATAAATTATATGTGTATGGATCTAATGTAAAAATAAATTAAAGTTGGGTGTAATTTATAAATATGAAAAGTTATATAAAATAATATAAAAGAGGAATATATAGGGAATATACTTTTTAGAGTAAAAATTGAAGTTTATGGTTGGCGTAAAATTACTGTAGATCAACTGCATTTTTACATTGAGTGGAGGGTTGGAGATGGCCTAAGGAACATACCCTAAAGTGAAAACACAAAGTGTTTGTGTGAGGTCTGGATTTTAAATTGAGATTTGAATAGTAAAAATTTTGAATTGGAATAGTGGTATGATGTGATATAAATTGGTGTTGACGTAATATTTTGAATGTAAAATTAATTTTTAGTATAATATAAAAAATAAGAAATAAGTGTTTGATTTGATATTTTTGAAGGAAAAAAAATTGATGAATAGTGAAAATATTTGGAAATCCTCCAAACACACACGTATTTGAATTAAATTTGAATTTTATAAGTGAGATTTGAAAATAATAAAATTTTAATCAGATAAAATTTTGTTTTTTTAAATATATTAAAGAAGTATAAAAATTCAATTTTATGTTTTGAAGTAATAAAATTTGAATATAGTAAAATATCCTTCATAGATATGTTTAAAAAAACAAAATAATAAAAATTCAATTTTATGTATATACGGAGTGTCTTTGTTTGGAGGTTTGAATTTTAAATTTAGAATTTTAATAATAATTTGAATTTGAATAGTTGTATGATGTAATATAAATAGATCGTTGATGTAATATTTTAAACATAAAATTGATTATTAATATAATATAAAAAAATAGATGTTAGATTTGATATTTTTTTGAAGAAAAAAATTTGATGAATAGCAATTTTAGTAGAAAATCCCACATCCGAACACATCCTATATATAAAATCATTTAAAAATACCCCTTTTTTAAAAGTTAAGTAATAAATATTTTTATACTATTTTTAAGTGATGCATAAAATTGAGTCATTCATAAACCTAGTTCGACTAAAACTCGTTCACAAACATTAACGAACAAACTCAAATTTTATTCATGAACGTTTATTGACGTGAGGCGAATCAACAAAAAAAAAAAAAAAAAAAAAAAAGAGAGATCTTTGTTAAAATAATATATTTATATAAATATTATATATACATATAAACTTATAGTATACACATTCACATTTCTATAGCTTTATTCTTTCTATTGTTTTTTCAATATATTTTTCTAAAATAATTAATACACTATACATATTCATTATTTTTAATTTTTTACACAATTATCTGTACCTCAATAAAAAAAATATAATATTCAACAATCTCGCAGAACAAACACATCCTACTTTAATTTATATATTAATATTTTTAAAACACATCCTACTTTAATTTATATATTAAGTTTTTTTTTAAAAAAAAAGACAAATGAGCTCGAACAAACTTACTGTATCATAACACAAGATTCAACAATAAAAATTCTTCGCGAATCAAATTCAAACATTAACGATCAAACAAAAACATTTAAAATTTTGTTTGAGTCAAACTTATTCAAACCTAAAGCGAGCTTAAAAAAAAAAAAAAAAAAAAAAACTGACATTTTTATGGATCACTTTTTGTGGACAAATTGAAAACACAGCTAAAACAACACATAAGTTCAAAGCCATCACTTTCAGATAAAAGTAAAAATAAAAAGCATCACGATACTAAATTTGTTTTACTCAAATTTCAAATCTAAAACAGGGTAATAAAAGTTAACACAAGCCAAAACACCCAAACAATACTTAAGTAACACTACGTCAACAATAACAAGCCATGTTCATAAAATTGCAAATTCATGTCCATGATTTAACATCGTACCCAAAATTCATCTCAAAATCAGCAAACCAAGAATTCCAAATAGGATGCAATAACTTAAGCAAAAATCTTAAAGATAGTAAAGCAATTTATCTCAATCTCCTTGCCTCCCTCTCGGACTCGAGAAGGGTGAGAATGTCGCCTTCTCTGACTGGTCCCTTAACGTTCCGCATGATGAAACGATTCTGATCATCCACAAACTTTACTCTAACTTGAGTGACTTGCCCACGCGAACCTGTTCGCCCAATAACCTTCACCACAATGGCGTGCTTGATCTGGGAATCCATCCTGCAAAGCCGTTTAACTAGGTTGGATTTAGAAACATATTCTCATGAAGAAAAATAATTATAATACTTCATAAAATAATCACTACGGATTTATTTTCCAATCCCATTTTTAAAAAATTCACTACCCACTAAATATTAATTGCTAAACAAGACAATCACAGCTGCATGATGACAACAAACAGCGGTAGCAAGAATGAGTATGAGAGAAGTTCATCTATTGTAAACATTAAATGATGAATGTACTCAATTAGTTTTCTTTGCAGGCTTCAATTCATGGTGCACCGTGCACAGATCTAAATCTGATCAAGACAGGAGAAAGGCATATTATCGTGTGAAAAATGTATAGCTAGGAGACGTGGATGAAAACGTAAAGAAAGAAGGTAGATAAGGAAAATATCTTAGTAAAGAGAGGAGGGGAGGTTGCAGGAAGCGAGGGTATACAAGTAGAAGATAGAGTGTGATAAGGAATTCAGAAGGGAATGGGATTAAGGATGAGAAGTGGAATGCTACAAATATATATATAGGGGGTGGGGTGGGGGGGGGGGGGGTTAGAGATATTTATTAATTAATCCCACATAAGCATAAAACAAGAGATATTCAATCACATCGCCCAATAAAACATAACCAGATAACGAGCAGCCAAAAATTAACAGAAACAAAACCTTATCATACAGCAAAAAACTCAAACCAATTCCCAATTCAAAAGACACTACACATTTAATTGTTCCGATCATAATCACTCTGTCCAACCCGAACTGAATTTTCTCTAGGAGTTGCATGCCCTAAAAGGTACTTCTATCAAGACTGTAATATAGTAAATGAGGTTCATGTTCCTAGTGGCTAGTTAGAAGTCAATCCAGGGGATGATCTAAATTTCCGCCACATCTTCTAATTCAATTCCAATTTCTTGAGCCTGTAACTTCCTTGAAATTGGAATTGTTCCTTACCTTGGTATACTACAGTATACTACAAAATTACAGTGAAATCGAATCTGATTCCAATATTAGTACAACAAGAGCAGATAAATTTGTAAAAAATCAATCACCAAACTCAAAAATTGCAAAACAATAAGTGCACTCTCTTAAAATACCTTAAAATGTTAGGAAATCACAAGAAAGCGCATATATATACGTACACACATACATATGGTCTGCTAGTTCTACATACAGACGTGGAGAGAATAGATCGACATTTTAACAACAGCCATTTCACCAGCAACAAAGTATGTATCTAATCTATGGATCAATATATAAGCCTGTGCGTATTTAAGCAAAATACAACACTTACACTTGCACGTAGAGATAGCAGATCCTCCTAATCGAAGAACAGCAGCAGAACGCAGAGCAGAGAGACGACGGCGGCAAGCAAATTGCAGGTTGAAGGCCAAACAAAACCCTAGCAATTCAAATATATAGTATTCTAGTTTGTCGAAATGACATAATCACCCCTGTAATTACCCTAATAACACTATTGAATGCGGGTGGCTTAAAGAGACATTTCAGACATGGTCATGAATTCGGATCGGACATTCCGACCCGATCGAGTTGGGTAAATTGAGTTGGGCTTTTTTTTTTTTTTTTTTTTTTTTTTTTTTTTTTTTTTAAATTTAACTAAATTGTACTATTCTTTATGTTGTTTTAAATTTGTGCTAAAATTTGTAGATATATATATATATTTGATTTTTTATATTAAAAAAATATAAAAATTATTCCTTTTCCGCTATCAATAATTATAGGTTTGTTTCGTTTATATTTTTAAAAATATATATAATTTTTTTCTTTTATAAAATATTTCATCATATAATATTTTCGTCCGACTTTAAGAATTTTATTAATGTTTTTGCGTGTTGATCATTAAATATTAATTATTATATCAAAATGTAGTATAAATTAAGAAAAAATTGCAAAAATATTTTTATTAATGTCTTATATTACTAATAAAAAAATACTTGTATAAAAAAAAAACTTATACAAATATAAGTATATTTTAAATATTAAACACAATAATATAAAAATTAAATGTGAGTTTTAGAGACAGAAAAAATAAATATTATTTTAATTATAAACTCAAAACAATTTTTTTAAAAACCTATTAAAAGAAACAAGCCCTATATTTATGAAGTTGGACATTGGTTAATAAATAATTATTTTTTTAAAATATGTATTAAAATCACCTTTCTCGTTGTACTGTAATAATATTTAGGGTAATATTATTTGTTACCTTCATTAAAAAATACAGTACGACGCATATGTTATTTTTTAAAAAACTTATTATTTTAACTAAAATAATAAAATAATAATTAAATTTTAAATTTATCGAAAATTTATTTATACAAATATAATTCAAATTTATTTCAAAAAATATCATGTTCAAGGAAAGTTTAACGAACAAACTTAATGAACGAACACAAACACTTAAATTTATGTTCGACTCGACTCGTTAACAACTCTATAGAATGTCTTTTGAAGAGGTGGCGACGGTGACGTGGGTAGCTATGATTTTGGGAGATACATGGACTATTGTGAAGTTTCATGCTCTATTTCAGGAGAGGATGGGGGTGATAGGAATTGGTAGATGGGGTGTGTGATTAGTTAGGGATAGGTTGCAGATATGATTTATTATTCTTTTTTGGAAAATAGCAAAAAATTCCCTCGTAGTTTACCGAATCTGCTGAAACCCCTCGTAATCCTAAAACTCCAAAAAGCCTATTAGTGGTTTGTAAAACGTTGCACACTCGCCCCCTCCCTTTAAATCACACTGACGCCATTAAATTTTAGCCTTATCAGACCGTTATGCCCTTGTGGTTTCTCTCTCTTATGCTCTTTCTTTTTCTCTTCTGCACAACTTCTTTCTTCCATCTTCTTTTCTTCTCCAAATTCTTCTTCACACATCTTTTTCCTCAATTTTTCTCTTCTTCTTCTCCAATTCTTTTTCAGGTCATAGCAGTTTCACCCGCTTCTTTCTTTTCTTCTTTTTTCTCAATTTTTCTCTTCTTCTTCTCCAATTCTTTTTCAAGTCATAGCAGTTCCACCCGCTTCTTTCTTTTCTTCTTTTACCCCCAATTTTTTTTTTTCTTCTTCTTCGTCTCCAATTGTTCTTTGAAGAATGAAGAATTGAAAAAGAATAAGAAGAGAAAGAAAATGAGGGCAGAAGCGGCTGGAGTAGGGAAGAATGAAGGAAGAAAAAAAAAGAGAATAAAGAAGAGAATGGAAAGAAGAAGAGGAGAAAGAAGGAGCTGGACATCAGGTTTTTTTTTCTCCAATTTTTTTTTCTTTCTCTATCTTTTTTTCCCCAATTTTCTTTCTTCTTTATTTTTTTTCTCTAATTCTTTCGTACACGGTTGCAACCAGCAGCAAGTTCTTTCTTTCTTCTTAGATTGATTTCAAATCTTATGTTAGATTGAATTTTTAGATTTCTGGGTTTGGTAAAAATAGAAGAAGAAGTATTTCTGGGTTTGGTAAGAAGAAGAAATCGACAATGAATAATAACTTATGCATTCTCATCTCTATCTCCATGTCCGGTCAATTAATTGTGATAAATTTGGTAAAATTTAAGTTGTGTTTAGCGGATTTAGAATAAAAAAAAAATGAATGAGGAAGAATAAGAAAGAACAAAAATAAGGAAAAAGAAGAACGAGGAAGAAGAAGTTGGTGTAAAAAGTAGTCATTAGGGTATTTTAGTAATTTTATACAGAAATATATCACTCTATGGACCAATAATCGCATTTCAGACGCGTGATATACAACCTTCGTTAAATCCTAACGAAGGGGGAATTTTTCGCAACATTTTGGAAACCACAAGTAGGTTTTTTGGAGTTTTAGAACAACGAGAGAGTTTTTAGTAATTTTGGGAAACCACAAGGGCTTTTTTGCTTTTGCTTGCCTTCTTTTTTTTAATAATAACAGGTGAAATTATACACCTTGAACACAACAAATAATAAAAGTTATACTCCATAATTGTATCACAATATATAGAGGGGTAGATTGTAGATGTGATTTATTATTCTTTCTTGAAAATTGCAAGTGAAATTCTGCACCTTACAAGAACACAACCAATAATAAAAGTTATACTCCATAATTGTATCACAATTTATATTATAAATTAATTTTTGGAAATTAAAATATAATACTTGTTTATATGATATTAGACAAAAAAAAAATTATCATGAATTTATAAAATTATAAAAATAATGGATTGAAGATGAAGATATGAAATATTAAAGAAAATAATTTAAATATGAAAAAGGGCATCCATCATATAATGAATTATTTTTTTAGCACAAAAGTTTAAAATCTAATTATTTTAATTATATTTAAATATAATTAAATAATATAAAATACTTAGTATACAAATATTTTGAAGTTGTAACCCACTAAATTATAAATTGGCACCCCTCAGCCCATTTCGCACTTGGAGGTCCAAGGCAGCAAGACCTAACTGGGTCGGCCCAATCCAGGCAGCAACCAAGAAGGCGATGATTCTAGGAGAACAAACGACATTCATCATCTTCTTCAATTTTTTCTATGCAATTTTTTTTGAATATTTTTTTTTTGTTAGAACATAATTAATTTTTTAGAGCTTCTTTTTCAATTCCAATCTTAATTTCCAGCTTCTTTCTTCTTCTTTTTTTTTAGTCTTTTTTATCACAATATCACCTTTATTTTTTTCATTCAAGCTACATTAATTATTCGAATATTGCGAGATAGTCCGGATCCTCTCTTGAGGAGGCCGGAAAATCTTTCGAACAAATTGATTCCGATTGGCCTTCCTGGTTAGGCCGTTGGTTGTGATTTTTTTACGACAATAGAATTGACACGCCTAATGGGACACCAACGTCTTGCGACTTTTGCATTAAACTTCGGAAAAGAAAATTGACACCTTCAACAACCATAAAGATGTCGAAAAACAAAGAAATTATCGGTGACTCGTCATCTCGCCCTACGCAGGAGGCTGTCCCACGCGACGAGGCTTCTGTGGCTGCTGGAAGGCTGGACTAGATCTAGGGGTGAGCAAAATATCCGAAATCTGAAAATTCGATCCGGACCAAACACAAAATTTAAAATTTGGTTTGGATTTTTTGATTTTTTGGATTGGTTCGAATTGAATATTTTGTAAATTTTGGATTTTCGAATCGGTATATTAAAATCCGAAATATAATATTTTAATATATTTTATTATTATATATTTTTAATATTTTAATTAAATATAATACTTTAATTAAAATAAGAACTAAAAATTATTAATATATTTAATATACTTAGTTTTATTTATTATATATATTTAATAGTATAAAACAACTATAAAAATATGAAATAAAATACCCATCGTCCCTTAACAATTTATCTATTTTTCCATTTTGATCCGTCCTATAACAAAGTATTCATTTCCTTTTTTAGTAATTGTATTGTTTACCTAACATTACAAATACCCTTCTAATTTACAATATATTATACAAATGTTATTACCTTTATATCATACAATACTAATAGGGTTAATTTAGTCTTTTTATCTTTATTTCTACTTTATCCCAATATAATACTAATATTTCTAAAACTCCGTGCAAAAAGCAAATGGATATATAGATGTGGGACGGAGGGAGTATAAAATTTTTAAAAATAACAAAACATGGAGAATTTCAAATTTTGCAGTTCGGTTCGGATTTTTTAGTTCAAATTTTGGATTTCGGTTATTTTGGATCGGATCGGATTGGTTTTTGCCAAAAATTTGGATTATTGGATTCGTTCGGATTTGGCAAAATTCGAACCAAAAATCCGAAAACTCACCCCTAACCAGATCATTAGCCTTCCAGCCAACGTCTTTCGTGAGCACATCTGTGGGGAAATTCAGTCGTCTCTCCATTAATCTGCCCCGGAACATTCCAGGTACATTACTGACATCCTAAATCCCACTATCCGGACTGAGTTTTCACTGCTCCGGGAGGAAGAAGCTTGAAAAGGTAAAGCCCCGATGGGTAGCTCCAATCCGTCGGATATCTGGCCTCCTATTAGCCTTACAGCCAGCTCTGTAGTAGATCCGACCTCCCAGGGGCTCAAGTATAGTCATGTTATTATCTCCAGTAGAGGTACCGGATTCTGGAGAACCTCCGTTCAACACCCAGAAGCTCGGAGAATCTAGTGCGCTGACTGGGCAGACCTCTTTTGGGCCGTTTCCAATTGACGGATTTGGGATGACCTTCGGGTCAGTCCCATCAGCGTCACAGGGGCAAAATAATCCTCTATATACTGAAAGTATTTACAGCACCCCAGCCTTATTCCGGGCCTCTAAGGAAACCCGATCGCCGGACAAGGAATTTCTAACGTCTGGGGAGCATGGTCGACAGCAGTTCTAGCACCTTTATTCGCTCCAACACCTCCTGGAACGATGTGGGGAACAAAGGGAGTTGTCCC